CCGCCCCCCCCCGACCGTCGACAACGACCGTTGACCACCGCTGACCTCCGTCAACCACCGCTTACTAGACGTAATCAGTCAACGTTATAACGTGAAAATCTAGTAACCCTTTCCCGCCTGTGGGACAAGGGGCATCTGTAATCATCATCTTATAGTGGATTTTTACAACTAGGCCAGACCCCGTGGTTTTTCCCTTTTTACGGGTTTTCCACGTAAAAACTTTTGGTGTTATTACAGCTTGATTCATTTTCATCTGAGTGTGTGCTGAATTTTTGTGCAACGCTAAAACGATAATCCTTTACTCTACCGCCGCGAATTTTCTAGCACGCATCATATGTAAATACATAAAAATTGTACGGTATGTACAAAAATTTTTCATTAACTTTATTATATTGTATATTTATATGCTCTAATAAAGACTAAGTCATATAATTGCAATAACAATTTGTTTTAATAAAATTATTTTTAATTATGTAAAATCATGTTTGTTTGTGAATTGAACCCAGAAAATATGATGCAAGTAAAGGGACAGAGTGGAGAGAGCAACAAAACTTCTTATTAATCATGTTAACCCTCCGTAATTCACAAAATGATTTCTATATTTATAGAGTAGATGGTGCATAACGACGATATTATATTTTAATCTCAACTTTCAAAGAGTATGCACTAGGGTATTTTTGGTATTTTAATTGCTTTTTGATTTGGTTGGTTGACTTTTGTTGGCTTTGGGTTGATAGGATTAGATTTGTTGGCCGAGTTAGTCGGTATGGACCAGCTCTATCGTCTACACTTTGTTGGCGTGAATCGACCAACTATGATTGTTTATCCTTTACCTCTAATGAAGACCCTCAGGGCTTTCCTAGGATGGTTGGAGATGCTAAATAACCAAATCCTTACTTAAGTCTGCACTTTTGTGGTGATCATTAGCTCGATTATCATTTTATATCGTTTTTAGCTGAGCGGCTCATTCTTATCCTCTGACCATCTCTGGTGTCATCTCGTGGTTCAGTTGCATCAGTCTTGCCCTTATAGGATTGCTATCAGGGTTTTGAACCTCTCTAATGGCTCAACCATGGAGATTTGTTGCGAGAGAGAGAGAGAGAGAGAGAGAGTGAAGTGAGCACTGACGAACAATGACACGTCATATCTTGTTAATGAAATTATCTCACTATTTATATGTGAGATAAAACAATACGATGATGTTTCATTTTTGCCTCATTTTTAATAGGATACATTCGAGACAATCAAGTATTTTACATATGTGAGCCTATCGCTTGAAAGCTATCCGCTCGTTCAACTGAACTTGTATGGTTTGTGCTCGACATGGCTGGTTCGATTGACTTGGCATAGTTAGCGTTGCCTGTTGGCTGAGCTTGATTGGCTTCGGGTCGGCATGACTAGTTCAATCGGGTGAGCGGGTGAGTTAGTCCGACTGATAATAGAAGGGGGAGTTTCTGAACACCCCCTATATTAGAATAAGATGCCGTGGGGCTATATCTTTCATTGAGTCGGCTTCTCCATGTTGATTGAATTCAATTTCTCTTAATCTTGTTTCCGATTAAACAACTCATATTCAAGCCATCCAGCCATTTTCATGATTGGGTCAGCTTTGGACTTATTTGCTCTGGCTCAGGCGACTAGATGTGATCAGAAAAGTGGACCTCCTAATCATGGTTATATTTTCATTAAAAAATGTTATGTATCATATGAGCACCACTTTTATATTTGTGCGGAATAATTCTTCAATTTAAGATACAGCGGTAAGTGTGTCCATCTATACGTGGATACCTACTCGGGTCGAATCTAATGGTGCCGAGAACGTCTGAACCTGGTCGGCTCTTCACTCGATTTCGTTTTAACCGGCTCGTTAGGGTTTTGTATCGAGAAACCGTAAAACCCTGACCGGACGCATCTGAGAAGAGAGGCGAACCTCCACCATGATTGAAATTCATCGGGACCGGCTGGAGAAAAGGGAGAAGAAGACGATGGAAAACAAAGGGGTTGACCAAGGGATATTCGCTTCCTGTACGTTCGTTGATCTCGGGTTGCATCCTAGTTTATGCGAACACCTCAAAGGTCTTCCACCGCTGTCTTTTATGATACTGTCTTTTCTAAATACAGTAAATAAACCTGCTTATAATGTCTATTTTTTTAAAAAATTTCAGATAAGATGGGTTTCGTAGCACCCACTCAGATCCAGGCACAGGCCATTCCAGTTATACTTTCTGGGAAAGATGCGTATCCTTTTCACTAGGTTTTAGATGGTTCAATAGGCGCTTAATTCCATTAAAACAATCATTTTGTTTGCTATTGCTAAATGTTTACTTGTATAGAGTTAGATTTGTACATATTTTATTCTTTAACTGGGATTTTATAGACTTGTCAATGCGGTTACAGGCACTGGTAAGACTATTGTGTATCTTGCACCCATTGTGAACCTCCTTCAAAAGCGCGTACCCAGAGTCGAGAGGTCCGATGGGACTTTTGGTAAGTCTTAATTGGTGCTTGTATCGCACCGGAATGGATTTTACTTGTCGGAGTTCATATATGTTTATTATGCTATAATGTTATGGCAGTTGGGTTCAAAATATTTACAAATTAAGATCGTGTGATTGAAAGTTCATCTATTAACTGAAATAGATTTGAGAGGCAATTATTTTGACAAGTTCATCAGGACCAGGACAAAGACGCATAGGCTGTTGCCATTGCTTAATTTAATCTTTGATTATTAAATGAAGTTTACCTCAAAACAACACATTACCAAATGTAGTTGGAGTTGAGCTAATTAATGCAATACAAAATGATGATGGCAGGTGGGTGTGTGTCAGGTGTTAGCTGATCTGCGTTGGTGGTAGTGAAAATCAAGTGTATTCTTATTGATCAACTTGGTTGTGCTGACAAGGTTAATATTGGATGACTCGTGCTCTTGTCAATTGGTCGTGCAATGTCAAAAACTTAAGGCGATTGGTTTAGCTTGGACTTCAGCCGACTGGCCAAGTGGATTGAAATTCGCTCGACTAGGTTGAGGTACAACCCAACAATTTTTATGAGAATCGGGCAATTGTCTGAATGTCTAAGTGATCATTATACTCGAGCCTATGTGAAGTGGCCATCCGGATTGCGTGATAAAATTCAGGGTGATTGCTCAAATTATTTGGTAAGAAAATCTCTTAGGCATGCGGTGGAGAAATGTGTTTAGGGATGTGTGGGCACAAATTGAATGGCCATGCTTGTCAGTTGATCAACTGTGGTGGTAGGCAGTCAAGTGTGTTCTTATTGAAAAACTCATCATTGCTTATTGACAAGCTTAATAATGGATGACTCGTGCTTTTGTGGGTAGGTTGCGCATTGTCCAAAACTTAAATGCAATTGGTCTAGCCTGCAAAACACGGGCCTCTCGTGCATGTATACTTGGAGTATCGGCAATACCGAGGTTGGAGTCCGGTTGTCGATCCTATAGAGATTTGAGTTGAATTCAAAGGAAAAGTTCTAGCTTATAGCTGTCAATCTTAGCCTAAAAATTTAGATTAGCAAGTTCAATTTAAACCTATTTTAAAGTTATGAAAAACAAGTTTATTCTAGCAAGCAAAAAGATTCTTTTAAAAAGTCAGGTGTCTGAGAGTTTTCCCTTTTAAATTGATCAAGTGATTGATAAAACTAAGTATTAGATTTAAAAATCGTGCCGATCAGGAGAATAATTATTCGTTATCCCCTTTCGGTGGTCTAATGAAGATTAGCAATCTCAAGTTCAGTATCCTAAAACTCCTGATTCCCTCAAAAGAAAATGTCTCATAAAAGATTGTATGAATCCATTGACAATATTTCTATTTCAACTACTTCATGTGGTTAACTCTTTTGTTCCATAAGGAATCCTTCCAGATATCAATATTCAGAAGGATATTAACAATCAACTAGCCAAGGAGAAAGTAAATTAAGCTCTCAAGTCACTTTTAAATTACAATCAAAGTCCAAACAATCTCAAATCCTTAGTCTTATACAATTACTATCTCAATTTAAGAGAGAAACAAGAAGACTACTCACTATTTATGGCAAATTTCATCAAAACAAACTTAGTTTTGTACATAAACATCAAAATCCAATCTTTACAAAAAAGTTCTGAAGAAAACACAATGAAATTGACATATCTCCTTAAAAAACAAGCAATTTGAAGATGTCACTCACAACAAAAAATCAACTCTTTCAATCCTCCCAATCACTTTCCTTTCTTCTCTTCTAATCTCTTTACAGAAACTTTTGGCGTTCTCTTCCAATTCCTCTTTCAGGAATGACAAGAAAAATAAGTGAAAAGGTCCCTCCAATTTGTGCTTTGGCCTTCTATACATTTACCAACAAACTGAAGTTTGAACTGCTCAAACCGTCAAAATTTGCGTGCTGGTGTCGTGGCGCCATAATTGGCACAGAGATGCTACACTTTTTTTTTCCAATACTTCTAGGCGCTAGTGTCGCGCTCCATTTCCAGCGTTTAGGAAAGATTTGAATTATTTGACATTATGAAAAAAAATAAAAATCTTATTCCTTCAATTGAAACACCTCCTGAAAAAAGTACTCCCTGCACATTTAGAATATGTTTTTTTGGAGGTTTATCTAAATTATTTAATTATAATATCATCAGAGTTAAATGAATTACAAGAACATAAATTATTAGAGATTTTAAGAAAATATAAGAAAGCCTTTGGATGAACATTAGGTGATATCAAAAGAATCAATCAATCGATTTGTATGCATAGAATTTTATTAGATGATCATCGCGAACCGAAATTTGATCCTCAAAGGAGATTAAACTCTATAATAAAAGAAGTGGTTAAGAAAAAAATTTTAAATTTGTTAGATGCCAAAATTATATATCCTATCTAGGACAGTGCTTGGGTAAGTCCAATTAACTACGTTCCAAAGAAAGAAGGTGTGACTGTTGCTATCAATAAGAAACAAGAATTAATACCAACATGACAAGTCATTGGTTGACAAATTTGTATTGAATATAAAGAATTAAATTCCGCCACTAGGAAATTTCACTTTCCTTTACCTTTTCTGGATCAAATGTTTGATAGACTTTTTGGGCAAAAATATTTTTGCTTTTTAGATGGATATACTGATTATCATCAAATTTTTATTGCTCATGAGGATCAAGAAAAGACAATATTTACTAGTTCTAATGATACTTTTGCTCCAATTCTCTCTATTGGCCTCTCCTTTTGATTCTTCTCTCCTCTTTTTTCATTCCTATTCTCTCTATGTGAACATTCTTTTCTAATTCATTTGTTTTTTTTTTTTTGCATAAATAATATATGATGAAATGGCAAAAGTATAATATGTTGAAAAACATGTCCATATAAATAACAAAGCTGCTGTGACTATCTTTCATTCGGCAGGTAAATAATTTTATACAAGATACGGAAGAAACAAAATCAAATACAATTGAAGAAACTAGAAAATGGATCATGCGTGTACAATTATAAAACACGTTCATGGAGCCATGCATCATAATGTTATCAATTGATAAAATTTAAGACAAGTCTAATGCATACGCGAAAGGTGGAACTCATTTTTGCTAAGTTTTGTTCCCCTGAAATTACTCATTGAAAAGGTCGACGCCCAAGTGCCTTTACTTATCAAACTTTTTACCAACCTGGAACTTTATAATTAACTTGTATAAAAAATTTGATCCCAAATGTAAATCAAATGTTCATTTGTGAGTATTGTAAGCTATACTAAGGCTTGAACATCTTAATTGATTTTTATTATGCTTGTTTATATTCAAGGAAAGCCATTTACTGTGCTCAAGCATCGGAATTAAACAGTGGGAAAAGCTAAGAAAAAAAAAAGCATGCTAGAGAGCTGATTTAACTTTGAAGAACGATGTTAGAATTCGAGCAACAGTTGTTCAATTTATAAGTTAAGGTTGTAGAAGACAAATTATTTGATTTCTTCCACAAGCTTAATGATAACATTTGTTTGTTTCTTTATCCCACCAATTTGGAGTTGACTTTAAGAATTCTCATTTTTTTTAATTCCTGCTCTCATGCATATAATTTATGTTTGCCTTCATGTTTTATTTTGGAGCTTATAAATCGTTTCAGTGTTGGTGCTTGTGCCTACACGGGAATTATGCATGCAGGTTCATGAAATTTTGCAGAAGTTGCTGCGTCGTTTTATTTGGATAGTGCCTGGATTTATCATGGGAGGCGAGAACAGGACGAAGGAGAAAGCTAGGCTACGCAAAGGTCTGGTCTTGTATTTTTTTTCATTGTACATAAATTTGCCTTGAAATTATCATTAGTTTTTTTTTGTTTCTTTAAATGAATATTGTTTTTGATATTTATAGTGCTTATAGCACCAATTTGGTTGCATTTCCAATTCATTTACTCTATGTGATGGTTTCCTTGATGTTTTGAGCTGTTAACTCATACTTTTCTACTTGATTTTGCATCACATACTAATATTTTAGAATTATTTTTATAAATGTAATTTTGAAAGGATAAACTTGGCTTTTTTGTCACTTTGCTTGCAGAATTCTTTTCATTTTTTATATGGCATTTTGGCATTCATCGTTTGATTTGAATTTTGTATCTTGAAAATACTTAAATTGATGAATAAATAGATTAGTTCTGTTCTGGAAATTGTCTTGCAGCTCCTTCATTTTAATTTGTTATTGATTGCTTTTTGGATTTTAATTTGGAAGTGCTAGAAGAGAGAGATTTTGACAATACTATATCTATACTCAATTGTCTTTATACTTAAAGCATATGTGTCTAAATTTAGTCAGGGTAAGAGGTCAATTATGAAATATAAGAAAGGAATATATTGACTATTGAAAAGTATTTTACTAAGAAATAGTGCATATTCTTGATATAAATAATTGACAAATGTTGCAATGTAGATATTGTAATACTTCCCACAAGATTGTGATGGCATAGAAGATGTCAACTTGCATTTAGAAATAGTAGTGACCAAAGATGAAGTTAAATACATCGTTACTTAAAAATTGTGTGTCGCAAGAGGAACTTGATCGATCTGTAAAAAAGAGAGTTATGTGACTCGAATGAAAAGAGTTTGCAATGAGATTTATATTAGGGAATGAATGTATAGAACCTTAAATAGAGATATCGATAGAGGGTTTCAACAAGTATTGTTGATGAAGTATATTGATAGCTTGTGTTGACACAGGGGTTGGGGGGGTTATGGTAAAAACCATGTGTTGGGGTTATGACAAAAACCATTGGCATAAAAATCGATGGGGAGCATAGTTGGATTGCAAAGGTGAATAAATATTGCAAGAAATAGAATAGACCAATTGTCTTATTTGTTCATGACGGTTGGTTGCAGGTTGTCCATATGAGGATGTCACTGAAGGAGAAGCTAGTAGTGTGCATATAAATCTCATTTAGAGTGAAATGTGATGGTTGGTTGGTAGAAATTGGAAATATATGTAGTGTTGGCGAGAATGTGTTTTGAAAAGTTCAAAATTGTTCTAGACTATTATGGCTAGAAGAGAGAGATTTTGGCGATACTATATCTTTACCCAATTGTCTTTATACTAAAAGCATATATGTGTCTAAATTTAGTTAGGGTAAGAGGTCAATAATGAAATATAAGAAAGGAGAATATATTGAATATTGAGAAAGTATTATACTAAGAAATAGTGCATATTCTTGATATAAATAATTGACACATGTTGCAATGTAGATATGGTAATATACTTCCCACTAACTCATGATGGCATATAAGATGTCAACTTGCATTTAGAAATAGTAGTAACCAAAGATGAAGTTAAATATATCCTTAAAAATTGTGTCGCTAAAGGAACTTGATCGATCTGTAAAAAAGAGAGTTGTGTGACTTGGATGCAAAGAGTTTGCAACGAGATTTATATTAGGGAATGAATGTATAGAACCTTAAATAGAGATATTGATAGTGGGTTTCAATAAGTATTGTTGATGAAGTATATTGATAGCTTGTGTCGACACAGGAGTTGGGGTTATGGTAAAAATCAGGGGTTGGGATTATGCCAAAAACCAATGTCATAAAAATCGATGGGGAGCATAGGTGGATTGCAAATGTGTATAGATCTTGCGAGAAATATAAGAGACCAATTGTCTTATTGGTTCACGGTGGTTGGTTGCAGGTTGTCCATATGAGGATGTCACGAAAGGAGAAGCTAGTAGTGTGCATACAAATCTCATTTAGAGTGAAATTTGATGGCCGACTGGTAGAAATTGGAAGTTTATGTAGTCTTGGCGAGAATGTGTTTTGAGAAGTTCAAAATTGTTGTGGACTATTATGGCTTTAATACCATATTAAAAGGGGGAGAATTGGAACTAAATTTACTCTATTCTCTTTATGACACAAGCATATGTGTCCTTATAGAGAACAATGATGAAAAATACTATAAAAGATAATATTTTTGATAACAAGAAATATTATAATAATAAATAGTGCAAATTTTTTTTTATTAATAGTTAATGAAAACATTGAAGTGTTCTTATTATTTTCTCGCATTATTATGTGGTTGGACATGATTTTTGCTTAATTTACTAAATTCTTAATGAACTAGCCATTCCTAATGAATTTCCCTATATACATCGACAATTAAATAAAGTATACATGACTAGTCAAATCTTGATGTTTGACTAAACATAAAATTTTATGATTTGAATTTTGAATTTCATCTTTTATTTTTTTTTCTTTTCTAATTTCTTAAATCCGCTATCAAAAAGCATTCTATTTTGTTTTTTTTGCCTGCAACTAATGCCAACCTTCTATTTTTTTGCTTTTCCTTTCCAATTCCATGCTCAAACAAAAGTCTACACTTGATATCTTAACACTTCCGTTCAAACTAATTGGAAGTATCTTCCATAGTGAGCTTGATGGCTAAGTTGTCAGATCGCTTATTATGGAGAGTCAACTATTTATTGTTTTGTTGGGGTGCCATTTTCAATTTTTTAATCGGGTGCTTATTTTCTATCATATTTTAAGCCTTATTATGAAGAGCTGAAGTGTGGGATATCAATATAGCTGCCTTGTTATGAGAGTAAACCTTTATTGGTGATGACATGAAACCAATGAACTCTTTCATAATCCTCTGCATCTATATTGTTTCATAAATTTCATACATAAAAAATTCTATTTCAATTTCTAGCAACCATGCTCTACTTTTTCAATTCACCACATGACAAGATTCCTTCTATCTAAAGATGCAATTACCATATTTAGACCCTTTTTCCACAATGTTTTCTACCCAATCTACATCGCTAGAGACTTCGGTTTGTAGATGTCTTTATATTTTGAGCAATAAATTTAAGGGGCATTTACATAAATAGCAGACAATTCTTGTATATTTACATATCTAACATAAACTTTCATATTTACACATGTAGCATTCAAATATTTAATATCAATAATAGCACTATTACTATTTTTAAGAAGTGATATACACTTTTTCATGCATAGTTTTAAAACATCAATGTGCTATATATGTAAATATGAAATATTAGATGTCAGAAATTTAAGTACATAAGAATTGTGTGCTACGAATGTATATTTCCTTCAATTTTTTTTCTGGAGTTTTCTCTATAAGTATCTTAAGATCATGTCAATAACTTCAAGTTGACTTGGCCTTAGAGATTGCATAAATCATTATTCTAAAAGTAATTGTAACATATGGAAGTGTATGGAATATGCTAGATTTCCTTGATTTCTTCGGTATTTCTTAATTTCTTAAATGTCCTTGTGCTTGGCAATTTGTAATTTATGATCATGTTCAACTAATATCTTTGGTATTGTTTATTTACTTAAATGTCCTTGGGTTTGACAATTTGTAATTTATGATGAGGTTCAGTGGATGTTCCGGCTGTTTGCAAGTTTTTTTTTTATCCTTTCTTGTTCGTTAATATTTAACATCATCACTTGTAGGGTTAAACCAGTAAAATAAACAAGTAAAATTGCAATTTTTATTAACTTTAAATATCTACGAACTATTGTTTGATATTTCTGACTTGCTAAAAACCAGTCTTTTATGATATTCCCAAATTATTCAATCCATGCTTTCGATATTTTATGTCTACGTAAGGACTTTCCAAAGTTTTTTCCTCAAAACATGGTAAGTTAGAGTCGTGGATGTTTCTCTTAAATCACCATTAAGAAAGGTATTTTTAACGTCCATCTAATGTTGTGTCCAAATGGAGTTTATTGCTAAGAAAACAATACCCTTATTTTGTTTCTTTCTTTAACAGAAGCAAATGTTTTCTGATTTTTGACCCTGTAGGTCTGAGTAAAGCATTTTGTCACTAGTTTGCCTTTTATTTTCCTATGTTTCCATTAAATTTATACTTGATAAAAAACACTCATTTGCATCTCAGAATTTTTTATTTTTAGATAGATCAATAATTTTGCAAGTTTCAATTCCAAGAGCTTTTATTTTCTACAACTGCTGATTCTAATTTGGATCCCCTTGAGCTTCCTATATATTCATTGGAAGAAAAAGTGAGAAATCCTTGAGTGAAGGCCTTGTGGGTTGCTTTGTGGGGCACAAATTCCTTTTCTAAGAGCTACTTGCATTTCAAGGTTAGAGGGTCTGATATTAGGACGAGCATTAGATGAACTAATTTAAGCACCTACAGTTTTTTTATGATTATTAGTGAGTTTTCTGATTAATCCTTTGCTGATTATATGGTTAGGCTTTTTGCTTGTTGTAAATTTCTTATTTTATTTTTCTCCGCCCGCTTCTTGTAAGTTGTAATACATATAGACTTGACAATAATGGGTAAAGTTTCCTTGTATTTGTAGCAACTTATCCCATGGCATGCTTTTCTTGAATACAATAAGGATATTTGGTAAAATAGTGGTTGGTAAGGGAATATGAGCGTTACAAATATTATTTTCATCTACCCCCAAAAGGAATTTTGGTTATGGTGGGCTGAATTTCTTCAAAAGAAACATTCGTACTATGAAAACTTTTAGTTTGTGAATTATACGATGTATTCTCTTTGTTCTAAAGCATAGCCTACAAAGACACATCGGATCAAGATTAAAATTTATTAGGTTTATGAACAAAATAGTTTAACCATCATAGTATATTTGTATTCTAGTAAAAAACAAAGGTCAGGTATTTTGTACTTCAAAATACAAGTTGAGATTCTATTGATCAAATAATATGCTGTAAAAGTAGAATCAACCGATAAATGTTTGGGAATATTTCTTAAAGTCATTATAGCTTTTGCAACTCCTAGCTGTTTGTTTTTACGCTTATAAGGACTATCTTTACAGTTACATTGATGTGTGATATCATTATCTTCAAAAATTTTTTAAAGTTTTCATATCTTATTCTTTTTCATTATAGGTGTGGAGAATGAATATTTTTGTTTGTAATTGATCTTCAACCGCCTATAAAAAATTTTAAATCAATTTTCAACTTAAGAATTTTTTCTCATCAAGTAGATCTAACATAAGCGAGTTTGTTCTTTAAAGATTGTATGTTCATCAATGAATATCACCAACCTTTTTTATTGGAATGAGAAAATCTTCAATCACCTATAAAAATTTTTAAATCAATTTTCAACTTAAGAATTTTTTCTCATCAAGTAGATCTAACATAAGCGAGTTTGTTCTTTAAAGATTGTATGTTCATCAATGAATATCACCAACCTTTTTTATTGGAATGAGAAATAGCAGTTAATTTGCTTAAAATATCACGTTATGTTAAAAGAGATGGTTTTTAAATAACCTAGGATATGTATTTTTAAGATAAGAAAGACTACTGCGTCCTAGTTTACGACGCCAAAATATTATTTTTCACGAACACGGATCAAATTTATACCACCAATACTATCAGCCATTTTAATTTAAAGTTATCAAAGTAGTAAAATCCATTGATCATCTTAGCATAGTAGCACTGCCATTTGTCCTCCCCAAAAATTGGTTCTGAATTAATTATGAGATTTAAGGATGGCGAGACAACAATTAGAATCTTAGATAGTTTACTCACCAATGAGATTACAACTTTACAAGTTTGGATCATGTCAATTACCTTTGAGATTGAATTTTAAAATATCTATTTCAGTCCTTTTGCAGCAATAAGTGAAACTAGGATTAATAGTACAAGTTCTTTTATCTTCATAGCAGGTGAGGAGTTAAATTAGATTAAAAAGCTTGTCATGGATCAGAAGCTCCTAGTTCTATGATAGGAGGATACTTGAACAAGAGGGGGCATTCGGATTGATGCCTGATTTCACGAAAGAGGCACTGGTATTACCACATGAATAATTGGATTTTAGATATTTTTGAATATGATCCATCTGCCCTCTGCTGAAAGGTCTGCCGTTTAATTCATTTTGCATGATTCCCTGATAGGTTTCCATCATTCCCCTCTCATTATATGCCGTTCTCTGCTTTGAAAATTTGCCATGAATTTTACAACAAGTTTCTTGGGTGTGATGAGGATGGTTACACCGATCACCAGACCTGAGATTATCATTTCTTTCCAGTTAATTGATCACTTTATGGGCAATTTTGTTGACAACAGTTAAAGCCACATCCAGTAGATTCTTTAGAAATTTTTTTTTCCTGCTGTAAGAAGACTTTGGTTTTCTTCACTTGGTGCATTAGAAGATACTTTGTTAATAGAGGGAAGCGGAGATCTACCAATAATTCTATCTTGGATTTCATCAAATTGCACATTGAGCCCTATAAGAAATTTTTAATTATGATCAACCTTAACTTTTTCTTTAATAATGACGTCTTCTTTTTTAGACTTACATTCATAAACATTGAATAGATCCAGATCTATCTACAAGCTTCTGAGAGTCGAGAAGTATTCAGTGATAAAATGTTTTCCTTGCTGAATATCTCCAAAATTGAGTCTCAACTCAAGTTTTGGGATTGATGTCCTAGATCAGAGTAAATATAATTCCTGTTATCTCATAATTCTTTGGCTATGGCATAAAACATATAATTGAAGTTAATGCTTTCATCTATAGAAAGGGTATACATCACTTCCGACAGGGCAATAAAGAGTGGAATGACTTCAAGCAGAGTCAGGGTAGGCTTTGATTCCATGAGAGAAAGAGAAATTCTTGTCAGTTTTTTACGTTATCACAAGACTGGACATGATTTATATTTACAAAAGCTATTTACAAAGTTAGTACACCTTTCCAACTTTATTTCCTTATTTACATTCTTAATTAAATAAGAAATATACGTGGATATAATGAAATCTTAATGTTTTTGGTCGAGTGGTAAACGCTGTGATTTGATTTTTCAATTCCACATTTTATCAACATTTTCCCTTTCATTTTCTAATTTCGTCTCCAACCCCAACAATTTCCTATTTTGCTTTTTCTTCCTGACCAGCGCAAGCCGTAAATTTTTTGATTTCTGCCCGTCACAGTCTTCCATTTTTGGTTCTCTTTTTGGGATTTTTGCTAGAATTGAAATATCCAAGGGTCTGTTTGAGACGACTACAACTTTTTGTAAAAGTTTTTATAAAGCTATGGTAGGGAAATAAATTTCTTAGAAAACTGTAATGAGAATTATAAAATTATTTTTTTCCTTCCAAGAAGCAAGGCATTAAATTTTTTACTACCACCACATTTTAACAGAGTTGGTTGCAAAAAACAGCTTTTCACTAGAAAGTTTTCTTAAAAGCAGCAAAAAAGTAGTTTCCAAAACAGAGTTGTGGTGATGATCTAAAACACAACATATGTAGAAAGCTGTTTGAAACAAACATGATAATTTATATATGATAATGTGTGCCATGAAACCTGAAATATCATTCTACTTACAAAAATGATATTTTTTGCTTGATGATCTCAATGCTAAGTTTTGTTGGCATATTTTGTTTCAGGAATATCAATACTTATTGCAACTCCTGGACGCTTATTGGATCATCTAAAGCATACCTCATCGTTCATATACACAAACCTTCAGTGGATTGTTTATGACGAAGCAGACAGGTTTGACTCATTTTTGGATTTCTTGTTGTTGCTATTTGACTTACATATAACATTCTAGCATTCATTTTACATTTTGGTTATCATCAATATAGCATTTTACATGTAATATTTCTGATAATCTTACGTTTTTTACATGGACTGATGTGCCTATTATTTTGTTATTCATTGGCAGGATTCTCGAACTGGGGTATGGCAAAGCAATAGAAGAAATTCTTGATTTTTTGGGTTCCAGACAAAATAGTGCTGTTGTCGGGGAGAACGAGAGGACAAAGCGTAACAAAATTTCAAGGCAGACTTTACTTCTCTCAGCAACTTTGAATGAAAAGGTGAATCATTTGGCTAATATTAGCTTACAAAATCCTGTAATGATTGGTCTGGATGACAATAAAGTTTCGTGCATAACAACAAGTACTTCGGTAAAACGGCTATTATTGTTAGATTCTGACAGTGATGGGAAATTAGAAAATCTAGGCCCTTTACCAAGTGAAGCAACAGAAAACTATATCCTTCCCTCCCAATTAATTCAGAGATATGTAAAAGGTGACTTTATGAAAACTTTCACATATTGGAATGTCTGTCAGATATAAATGTATTTTTTTGTTAAGGTTTGCTGAGGACAACTTATTTTACCTCTACTGTGCAGTCTCCTGTGGTTCGAGGATGGTGTTACTTCTTTCCATTATTAAGAGTTTGTTTGAAAAAGCTGGTTCCCAGAAGGTAAACTTACATGTAGGGCTGCTCTCACTTCTAGTTTTACTAGATCTGTTATTTTTGTCTATAATGTGGAGAATAATAGGATAATGTTATTTTCTGGATATTAAAATTCTGGTGTTGTAGAAACATTTAATTGCTATATTCTCAGCTTAGTTTTATTGCTAAATGAGAGGACTATCCATCTTTTATAATGTTTTCAATTTATAGCCAGTATTGAATTTTCTTTTCTATTGATACTGAAAATCTGCTAAACTTTAACTTCTGTTTGAATATTGTTTTGTCGGATTTAAGTTTTGTCTCTGTAAATTTTTTTTTTTTGTCTAATTTTACTGTGAATTTAGGATCCAAAAATTGAAATGAAGAAACAAATTGCCCTTGGCTCCTGTGCTACAGTTTGATATTGCAGGATTTGAACTGCCACACAAATTTCTGCTCAGTTAGATTCCAAACTTTCTCCCTTGAAAGCTAAACAAATTAATATGGCTTATTTAAGCTGCATTTGATATATCTACTTAGCGCTGCAATATGTTGTACTAGTTATCATTGTTGCTTATCATCATTCATTAGTGTCGTCTGATTCAAAATGAATCCGACATCAAAATATTGGCTTTTTATGATATTAAATTGACTTGACAATAATGTTGCGTAACACTGTCAAACTAGTAGGATTTTCTAAATTGTTTTATGAGGTTTGCAAAGATTTGAGCTTCATATGCGATCAAATATAATAATGACCTTTTCATATTATGATTTGATGTTTGAGAAAAAAGAAATTAGGAAGTAATTGTTCATAAAAATCATAGTTATTTTTTCTTTCATTTAATCCTTACACCGCTTTTTCTTCAGCACGTGCTTCCCGTCTCACTTTATCTTTCTCTGAATTTACCCCTTAACAATAGAAAATTCTCTGTTAATAGCTACATAGAAGAGAACAATAATTGCATTCCTCAGTTTTTCCTTGGATGGTGTTGTTGGCATTGTGATTGCACGAGATAGATAGATAGAGAGAGAGAGAGAGAGAGGGGTTATTGGATATTTTGTAATTGGTTTCAAACCTTAATTACTATATACATTTATGATAATCAAATTTATTATTTAAGAAGCAAGTAATTGCATAAAAATTCAAATCTAGCCTAAACATAACTATTTGATAATGAGTCTTTTATGATGTAGATTGAGGTTGGGTTATCCATGAAAAGATATTTATTTGATGGCATAAAAAAATTATGATGGTGAATTTTAAAAAATAAGTAAAGGGGATACAAAGATAATTATAAAGGAAAATCAACGAGGAACTCTAATAGGAAATAGCCATTTACTTTTCATTGTGTACAAGCATCATTTAACTTTATTTTAGCTCAATATAATTTTCTAAAACAACTCATTTCTATATTTATAAGTACTAAAATACATATTATTACATAATTTCGTGAAGGAAAGAGCAAGTACAATGATCTTCATGGTTTTATTGTATAAATGATGACCATATTACTTAACTAAAGAGATCCTTGATTATGATGCATGCGAAGCTTCGATGCAGTGAATATGGAAGGGCATGAGAGAAAAGATGATGTTCTTTGCTTTGTTTTCCTGCTTAAATTTTTGCTATCCCTCTTAAAAAAGAATATATCCCAATAAATGCTTTTGTGATGATTTATATCTTCATTGATTGCTCCACCTTTAATTGAAAATGTTGATGACATAATATTCTCATAAAGTAAATAAAATGTTTTTTATTTTCATAATGAAATTGAAGTATAATTTCTTCCCAAATTTCAATTATGATGGTGGCTATATAGCAATTTTTAAAATTAAATTTTTTCATGAATTGATGATGATTTTATTCTTCTTTAAATGGATCTTGAAGATGATTTGTATCATTTTTTGTTATTTTTCACCATAGTTCATGGAACTATGTTTGCAGAGTTAAAATATTTATTGTGGTTAGACACAACATTGCTATGATAAAAATAAAAATAAAGTAGAAGAGAAAGCATAGCCATGAAAGAAAAAAGCAAGGAAACAAAGCAATTGGAAGCAAATTAAGATAATTGGGATTAATATTTTTAATTAACTAGAAAAACAAAAATATTAAGTTATCCATTTGAAATATTTTTCGAAGGTTGGTCGACATACCAAAAAATTAACACTATCTAGATATCGAACCCTATAATTTTTATAAAATTGAAGGACAAATAACATAACAATTTATGAAAAGCCCTGAACAACAATTAAAAATAGAAAGAGATAAATTCACTGTTCAAGCAATTTTATAAAGAGAATTACCAAAAAATCAACATAAGATGGCTATTAAGCACTTAAATCTCCCTGGGATTGATGAAAGATGTGAGGAGAAAAATATTCATGAGGGAATTTTGAAAGCACAATTAATTACATAAATAAATATTTTAATGAGAGAGGGATTTCACCAAACTTTCCTAACATGTGATAGATGCCTAGATTTATGAGTCTGATATCAAATGATTTAGTTGGAGGGTGGACTGTCCATGATAGTATAATTGATTGCATGAATAAATGATAATTATACTGTTCAAGAGAATAATAAGAGGATGCAAAGATAATTCGAAGGAAACTCATCAAAGAATTATTAGTAGAAAGTCATTACGTACAAGCAAATATTAATATTATTTCAATCTGATATGAGATTTTAATACACCTTATTTTATATTGATAAAAATTAAAAGTATTTACATTATTATATAATTTTGTGGAGGAAAAGGAAGTTCATAAAGCTTTATAATTTGATTGCATAATTGGTAGCCTCAGCTTCTTCTCCGGCTATTGTTGCTCTATGCAGCCTTTTGATTCCTATTATTTCATTATAGCTAGCTAACCACAATTTCCTTTTTATTTATTTTTTTCTTTTGCTGTTTTGCTATTATTCCTGCCAAGTTATTGATGTGGCTATTTCCACCTACTAGCCCTCTAATTCAATTGCCATAATCAGTACTCAATAATAGTGTTAAGCATTCCTCCTTATAGCTTTATTGTTTCGAGGTAAAGCATTTTCTATTTTACAGTAATGCTTAAGGCAACTTGGAAACTCTAGTTTATGGGAGAATTTCTACTATAGTTTGTTTGGCGTGCTTAACATTAAAATTGACCAGTTTTCTTGATGATTTGAACTGACGAGCTTTAAATTATTATTCTGTTTTGTTTCTCATCTTGAGTATCTCAGATTCATTAGAAACCCCAGTCACTTTAGTTCAAATTGATATAGACCATATGGTTGCACCTTCATGTTGATCATTATTAATACAAAAAAATCTAATGAATGATGCATCAGAAACAAAAACCGATAAGATATACTTCTGAATGAATACTGTGGAAATATCACTAGAATTTAAATTTCTTTTCAAGTTTAATGAGAGGTATGAGGTTAGGTTGATAATTTGAATTATTTCTTAAAAAGTGCTGTTTTTTTATAGTGAAAAGGTTAAAGTGGACATATTCAAATTTATTGGCAGGAACAATGAACAAATCAAATTTGGCTCGATTATTGCTTTTAATTTTGTCCAAATTAATAATTAAGAAAATATGAACTCCTTTTAAAATCTCGAAGGCTAAATAAATAAAACTCGAACAAAATTCAATTAGTTAAATAAGTAATTTGCTATGATTTGTGAACTAGCTTGTTTGTTGTTCAATAAGTAATTTGCTAAGATTTGATATTAAATTTCATGATAGTTGATATATTATTAAATAAGTTTTGGTTAAATAAAAATTGTTTTATTATTTATTTGATATTAATATATTATAATTTAATATTTATAATATTTTAGTATTAATATCTTAAATTACAAAGGTTTGGAAAATTATCTTAGTATACTTACATGAATAATTATTTGTAGTTCACTCATATGGAAAATAACATATTGATTGAAATGTAGCATTAGAAATAGCATATTATAATCACATTATTCTTATTATTATTTTCATCAGTGATAAAGTGGTTTTCATTGATGTAATAATTTCATTTTTGTTCTCTCATTTTTCCTTATTACTTTTTCAGCCTGCTTTTTTTCTTCTGTTTCGGCATTCAAGTTCTTACAGGATTATTGTACAGATTGTGGTCTTCCTTTCTACATGTGATGCTGTAGATTTCCATTTTTTTCTTTTGAAAGAGTTCAAATGGTCCGCCAACCCGCATCAAGAGATGGATCTGAGGAGTACGTTTATCACGTGCAATGCGTTCAGGTTACACGGAAACATGGCACATGAAGATCGAAGGACCGCATTTCAAGACTTTAAAAATGAAAAATCAGCAATGCTTCTCTGCACAGATGTAGCAGCAAGGGGTCTGGATTTTCCCAAGGTTACATGTATAATTCAGTATGATTCTCCTGGTGAGGCTTCTGAATACGTGCACAGGTATGAAAAACATTGCGAAGATTTACATGCATACCACTCAATATCTATGTATTCACATGTCAAGTGCCAAAATTTTTATCTGATTATATACATGAGGTCATATTAGTCTGAGAGTCTAAATAAAATGTCAAATTAATTGTCAAAACTCTTTTAATATGAGTTAAATTGATCTCTGGAGTGGACCAACTTTTATAAAGAGCCGGGAAATCATTTTGACACTTTTCTCTTTACATATCTAACACTAAAACTTCAATTTTTATTTACATACCACCTTACATATGCATGAAAAGGTTTATTTCACTTTTGAAAAGTTAAAATGGTGGTATTTTTATGTGATACGAAAGATATGGGTGGTAGAAATGTAAAAAAACAAAGTTTGGGTGTTAGGTATGTAAGTATTATAGGAATTGGGTGGCATGTACGTAAATGCCCCGAAACATTTTTATCATAGTTCATTGCTGCGGCTAAAAAACATTGTTCCAATTTGCATATAAAAAAAGTTGTTTACCAACTTGTGTTTATTAATCCTCCGTGAAGATATCTGCCACAAATATTTAGGTTTTGATGCCCAAAGAAATTTGGTTACACTAACATTCTTATTTCTGAGCGTCTGTATGGGTGCTGATGGACTAAGAATGATACATTCGAGGATCTTTACTAGTCTAGATGAACTAATAAAATTTATTGATTTCCTAAATGCACTTAATTAACATGTTTTTTTCGAATTTTATTTTTCTCTTTCTAATAAGATAAGTAATATCACTTTTGATATGCAATGTGAATAAGTTAAACCTGCAAGAATTATTGAACAAATGGTAGCAGAATCAAGTGCAGGTGAAGATAAGTCATTATCTCTATTCTTTGAACTACCATTTTCAATTCTTTGAGGATGAGCTTGATTCGTCATGTCTATTAATATTTCATACTTGTTTCGTTTTATTAGCAAAAGATACACTTATTTTTAGCGGGGTATTTATTATCTTAAATTGAGAACCATAATAATCAAGCTTTGGTTTTCTCCCGTTAGATACTTATTTACAAACTCCAGTGCAATGCATCAGTATAATGGCCTAACTTCGCAAATGAAATCTGTAGTTTTGTAAAATTTAAATATTTGGATAGCTTTCGAAAAACCTTTATTCCTAAAATCACAAGCCAATGTAATATAGTTCTTTTTGGTTGCCATGTTTCCTTTTGGGCTATATACGGGAGATTAATATTTTTCTGTTGTCTTCATTCAACAGGGTTGGAAGGACTGCAAGGTTGGGCGAGAAGGGAGAAGCCTTGCTATTCCTTCAGCCAGTTGAAATTGATTATTTACATGAACTGAAGAAGCATGGCGTTTCATTAACCGAATATCCACTTCAAATGCTTCTCGATAAACCTCTCTTTTACGGCCAGAAGCAACATCATCAGAAGTTTCTGTCCTTAGACACACATCCCTGGATAATATTGCTTCAGAAGGCACTTGAAAGTTTTGTTTTTTCTGAGGTATTTCTGTCCCCCAATGAAATGAAACTCACCTCCTAATATCAAATATTCATTCCAAGAAGCATAATCATGTTATTAGAGAATATTGAATTAAATTTCCTTCTTTGTAAGCACATTACTTCAGTTCATCATATAAGTGGCTTATAATTTTGATATATCCAGCCAAAAATGAAGCAACTAGCGAAGAACGCATTCTGCACTTGGGTTCGAGCGTACACAGCCCATAGAGGGGAGCTGAAGAAGATTTTCATGTTGAAAAAGCTTCACCTGGGACATGTGGCCAGGAGCTTCGGACTTAAAGACCAACCTTCTTTGGTGTCCAAATCTCTACAGAAGCAAGTTAAGAAAAGACAGAAGGGCCAGGGGAAAGGCAAGCCATCCAAAAGGAGACAGCTTTCTGCTATTTAAATGTGATTGTAAGCTCTGGATCAGGTCTTCAGTTTTGGGTTTTTTGGTTTCAGCTGTAAATAGAATTGAGAGTTGGTAGAAGCTCATGGTTTTGGTGGTATTTGATGGGACAGTTTTGAGTGCTTGCTTTTTTTTATATGTTCTTTTTCATTTTTGGTGGATTTTGTAGTTGGTGATCAGCCATGATATTGATGTATATTGTATACATTAGGCATTTATCATGTACAAGCAATGTTTTTACCATCTATAATCCAGCCTCAAATTAGTTGCAATCCTGCCTAAAATTGTTCAATGTGTCTAACATGCATTTTTGCATGGTTTGTTTGAAAGATACTTTTTGCTTGTTTTTGTATTTTTTTCAATACAAATTGTTATATTATATTATTATAAATAGTATGATGTTGCATTTGAAAAATATTTAGATTGATGGATGCAAAGATAAAATTGTGATAAGTTTATTATAAACTCATTCTTTGTTCTTTATTTTTCATGTATGGTCACATTAATAATCATAAATATCATCTCATGTATTTATTTCTTTTTTGTAATTTGTAAATAACAATAAACTTACATGATCTATAATACCAACGTAAAAATTTTTTTAGTTAAAATGTTTTTACAGTATTAAATGAGACCACGCAAGCTAGTTTATGACTGGCCCGCACTGGCCCGCACTGGCCCGTTATCTAGAAAGCCCGAATTTGTTATGATTTATGACTGTTTTCCGCCTCCGACATTTTCCTGCACGAACTCCGAAAATTTCCCTTAGTAAGCCCTAATCTTCGATCGAACTTGGTACCCCGGTGGATTATAACGGCGTTGATGGAGAGATTCAAGCTTGGCGTCCGCTCTCCAGCACAAAATTCGATTTCGGATAATTCATCCTCCAACTATTACGAGCCTCCTTTGGATCAAACCCGCGTATTAGTTCGTGCGGGTTCAAGGTGCGTACGCGAATCATCAGACATTTTCTTCTACTCAGTTTTCGTCGAGCTTCAGTGGTTATAAACACAGTTAGCTGCTTTCATTGCTGTTATAGTTCTTTGACCTGTAGACACGAAAGCATCAATTGTAGATGCTTGATTGAATTCTCTTGGCTTTTTTGCAACTCGAGGACAATGTTAGGGTTTCTTGTGTTCCTACAGGACCGTTTTCCTGATGATTTTCTTAGTTAAAACCTTTCTGATTCATTTTATCAGTAATAAAGTGAAGGAAAAGGTTGTTAGAACTATATAAGATATCACTTGAGCGTTATTTTAGCGAGATTTTTTTTTTAATTCTTGAAAAGAGTGCAATATTCTGATATATTGAAGTTGTTTCATTTTAATTTTTTGAGGTAAAATTTAATTTTTAATGATGTAGCTGATTTTGACTCACCTGTGTGATTTCATCATGCATTGAGAGCCCATTTGGGACAGGTTTTTCGGCGTGGCGCATTTTGAAAATGCCCGCAACAGCGTTTGGATATTGCATTTAATATGTCTTGGAAAAGTCGGCTGCGATACATAATAATTGCGGTTCATGGCCCGTGTTTCGTCATTTATTTATCTTTGGCTTTTACTACCCTACCCCGAGCTTTTGTTATGTCTCACTCTCCCCTCTCTCGCGAGCTCTTCGCTCTTGTATACTGTTTGGGGCAGCTTATTGAGTTGTGGCGGCATTTTGAAAACGCCGCCGCACTGATTGAATACGTTGTTTGCTCCGAAACGCTGTTCGCTATTTTGTTATTAGGTGGGGATGCGTGATCGACCTCATGTCCCGCATCTTCTTCTCGTGTTCGGTAAAATAATTCCTCCCGTGCCCTTCTCTGCTCTCCCTCGCCCTTGCCCTCCCTGATCTTCCTTCTGGTCCTTCACCCTCGCCGAGATCGACACCGCGTCTCCTCGCAGGTCGTTCTTCCTTGTTTCGTCCCTTGTTACTCTTTCGTCCTTTCTTGGCGTCATATGAGGTATGTTTTCAACGAAACCCTGACCGTGGCAAGACAACATCAATAATGCGATTTCTCTGCTTGTTTTTTCTGAGGTGGAATTACAATGCAATTTTCTAGTGGGTTTGCATGAAATATCTGAAACATTACACTTGGTATATCAAGTGAGGTATGAAATTTTCTTGTGGGTTTGCAATTCTCACTTGGGAATGTTGGTTTTACATTCTGCTCAACATTCTTCAATTCTAGACTGGTGATCATACATCACTTGGTATATTTTTATGTAAGGAGACGATCCATTGTAGATCTATCGATTGTGGCAGTGATCCTTTTCGATTGTGACACCTGTGTTAAAGGATGATATATGTTTGAATCCTTCTTGATTGTGGTGGAGCTGTTTTGAGCAATGTGTGGATAATACGGTTAAAATGTGTTCCCTCAAAGAGTTGCTTCCACATTGAATTTCTTCAAGATAATGTTATAAGCAATGTTGTGGCACCTAGTTCTATTGTTAGTGCTCTGAAAGTTGATTTTCGTCCTAGTAATGTGGCATTACGAAATTGCTCTAAGCATTTTTGAAATCGTGCACAAGAGAGGAAGGGAGGCTGAAGGGGAAGTGTAAGGTTGTTGGGATTAGAAGCAAATAGACATGTTTGCATCAATGTATATGTATGTATTGTCCAGACTATTTGTCCGGGCTATATTGTTCATGAATCAAATAGATTTGGCATCTCAATGAATCAAATACGCCCTTAAATTTGTTTTTGGCGCTGCCTAACTGGAAGTGTGCAACATATAGATATGGCTTCTTAATGTTGCCTGTGCTTGTGCCTTATGAGCCCCTCTCAACCTGTTAGATTTCTCCATCAAAGAACAATCCCCTTCTATTTTCTTCTTTATTTTCCATGTTAGAAATGTGGAGAATAGTCCCACATCAATTATGAAATAAGAATTTAAGCTTAGGTTCTTTAGTTCATGAGTGTCCATCCACCAGTATATTGGGCTCAATTTACTGGTATTTGAATGGTTCATGCTATTTTTGGCTCAATTTAGGCTTCCTGAAGGTTTCTGGTTTTACAATTCCCATCAATAAGGCATGTATTTGTAAACTCATTTGGTGTATGTCCTCTCATCTTCATGTCCACAAAAAATTTGGTTGCCTCCTGCATCATATGTTCCTTATAGGAAGTATCAATGAAAGTACTGTATGTAACCACATTGCGCTTCAACCCATTCCTCTTCATCTCATTGAGGTATGCAAAGGCACCATGTAGCATCCCAAACTTGGAAAAACAATAAATGAAATCTGTTTACGTTGGTTTTGTCAAATATAAGGATGGGTTCTTCATTTGAATCAAATTAATGTGTATTGAAGCATGGATTAGTATTTATCATCTGATTTGGATTTGTTCAGTAGTAATCTCTGAGACTCTACCTTTGAACCTCTTGTTGCTTTGTTAAGTAGTAATTTTCTTACACTGCAATTGTTGTTAAGCTTTAATTGTTGAACAAAAAGATAAATAACGTAGCTTCATATGTTTACTATCATAACATATATGAGTTTCCATCATCCTCATTTCTATGTTCTGCTTCATTCTTTGCTGAGGGGAGGAGGAAAAATTTTTATAAGTAATATGTTAGGCTTAAATTGTTACACAAAAATTTAAATGAAGGTGTTTGTAGGGTTGCATAGCTTTACTATCATTACATAGATGAGTTTACGTCAGCCTCATTCCCATTCTTTGATTTGTGCTATCATTATTTTTTAAGCCAATTAAATTTTACATGTTTCATTATGTTAATGTTCAATTCATTTCATTCATTTTTGTTAAAGATTTTGAAACCTTTGATGAAGAAGATAGCATGCTGAGAAAATCTGAGCTTGAGCTTTATTTAGATGAGCATAGAATAAACAGGAAAGAATGAATGTTGGAGAGGTAATCAATATAGGTTTCATGCGCTCTCTGCAATGGCTCATGACATTTTTTGCATACCAATTTCAATATTGTGGGAGAATTCTTGATCAATGTTGAAGTGCGTTAAAGCATGACAGTCATTTTGATACCATTTGTAATTTTTTCTTGTTCAATTCCTATATCAGCTTAGCCACTATTGTATTCTCTTGGGCTCAGTTCAATTACTAGTTCTTTTTCTCTAATATTTGCTTACTGTTAAACGAGTATTATTAGCTTAGTTAACGAGAAAATGATCCTTCATTATCAGTTAGTATTGCGGTCTTTTATACCTGCTAGAGGTAGTGGCAAGGAGGATCATTTTGCTATTTTGTTTTTGGTAATAGAACCTTCCGTTTTTCCTCTCTTTGATGCTTTTGTCCTTGCAGTTGCTGCTACTACTCATGTTTACTACACGTTTTAGTCGAGAAAATTCAAATTGATCTCTGACTCTTTCTAAGGGTATTATAGTTTTGGTCCCGTGGTCAATAAATTGTTAATTTAGTTCCATAATCTTTTATGGGGGTTAAAACATATAGTAAGACTAATTTGACACTTTAAGAGTCATTGGGACTAAAACGACCCTATGTAAATAGTCAAAGACTATTTTGACACTTTACTCCTTTTGTTTAAATTTTTGGCCTAATAAGAGTGGATCAATTTATGCCTTTTATTTGATAAATTTGGTGACTACATTTGCCTTCTACATACTGTGGGTTTTTTTGGAACCCTGCATATAGTTGGGCCTGCAAATAATTTTTTTTGGTCAGTTTTCTCTGTTCTTTTTTTTTTCTTTTTTTACTTAGAATTATTTTGTTCTTGTTGTACAATGGTTTCACACGATATTTTATGTTAAGTTAATTTGTTCAACTATAAATTCTTTATTTAGTTCCAACATGGCTAAGACGAATGAAGACGGTCCGTCAGCTATGTTGGATAAGAAAGTTACAAATATTTTTTGCAATATCTGTATTAAAGAAATTGAACTCGGAGATAGGCCAACCACGTATTTTAACAAGAAATGTTGGCAAAATATTGCGAGGAGGTTCAAAGAATTGGGGGGAAGGGATTATGATAGACTCAAATTAAAAAACAAATGGAATCAATTGAAGGAGTGAAAAATTTGGAAGAAGTTGAAACGTGAATCCACCGGGTTGGGTTGGGATCCCATTAAACGAACAATCGATGCTCCGGATGAATGGTGGGTTGAGAAATTAATGGTAATAATTACACTCATTTTGTTTATTCTCATAATTTTTTGGTTTAACTAATAATCCCTCTAAACCCTCCTCTTCTATACAATGTTACAGGCAATGTTGACAGCCAAAAAATATAAACAATGAGGAATTGAGTCGGACTTTGAATATAAAATGAACATAATGTTTAAGGGGGTTGTCGCGACGGGAAAACATGCATTCAACCCAAGTAAGTTGGGGTTTGCAGATATACCAGATAACTTGCCACCTGAGCAGGTGACAGCTGACGAAGAAGGGCGTAATGTTAACCAGAAGGAGATGGATGAGTCCAGTTCCCTGTAAAAGAGGCCCAGGCTTGATAGGAGGAAGAAGGATAAAAACATTTTTGTGAAGAGCTCATTCGATAGACTGAAGCTCCACCACCTGCTGCACCTCGTGACAACACCATCATAGATTTTATTGGACCTTTGGATGCTCTTCCAGAAGTAGTTGTCGATATGCGATTTCATGCAAAATATGTAAAAAAACTTGAGAATCATACCCGTAGACAAATATTCATGGCGTTGCAGCCCGAACTGTGCGTTGAATATTTGCGTGTTTTGACGGATGAATGAGTCTGTTTTATGTGTTGATGTTAGTAGCTATTTTTGTTATTTACTTCTTGACACTTGTGCTTATTCTCCAGAACATATATTTGTAATTGGTTGTGTGCTTTGTAGCCTTTGATATTTTTATTAATTTATTTTTGTTCTACTACTTCTCAATAATTTATTTTATCATAATATCTTTTTTCTTTAGGATGAATCTGCAACAAGAACGCCGTAGAAGAATGAGATGAGCTGCAACTATTGTGATATTTTTGTTGAAGT